ATGTCACGAATATTTTGTATTTTTTTTTTAACAATAAATTGTACATTGTAAATAATAAGTAGGAATTATACAGGGTTCTCAAATATGTTTAATATCAAGGTACTCAGAAGGGAACTTAAATTCTTTAGCATTGCCACACTGTGTGGTTTACTAATAGAGGTGTGACAGTAGGTGTTTGTCGGGTGTCAAATGACATGAAATGTGTGAGTGTCTCTGCTATGTTCTTTTCTACTTCTCTCCATCATTTTGGATTGCTTTAATCTGCACGGATCCGCGAAATGTACAATATCTTTAAGACATATAGCACAATAATAGTTTGCGAAGCTCCAAACAAGACATTCGTGAGTGACTGCAATCAGTACTGATAATTGTACTTAATAACCTTTAGGTATTATTATGTAATAAGAGCGTACGATACGAAGGGCAACGCAACTCTCTCCTTCTCTATTGGTTTAGACACCGCTTACGCGATTATAGCCTAGTCGTTCCTTCTTTTTGCTTGGATATTCCAAGTGTGCCCAGGTCCTTCTCCACCTGGTCCTTCCAATTGAGTGGAGGTCTTCCCCTTTCTCTGCATCCCCCGGCGGGTATTGCGTCGAATACTCTTACAGCTGGAGTGTTTTCATCCATTCAGTTGACATTCGCTGGACTATGTCAATGTCTTCGTATATCTCGTACAGCTCATCATGCCATCGACTGCGGTATTCGCTGTTGCCAATGCGCAAAGAACCATCAACAATACCGTAAAAAATATATTTATTTTTTATTTATTTTTTACCGACACTAATGTACTACATGTACATGAATATACTATATTGTATGTGTATGTATTTATGGCTGTAGGTAGCTACTCAAATAATGTGCGTATCAAGTATCCCAGCGAATTCGATGTAATATTCAAACTCAGTATACCTTATTCATCATATATTAATGTGGAGGAGGATGAAGATCGTCCCGGTTTTGTCAACTTAGATTTTGAAGAGCTTATGGAAGAGCTCTACAATTGTAACGGTTATAATGATGTATATAATCACATGTGTGGCCTTGTTGATCAGAATAACCAATATCTAAATCGTTCGAGTCTGCAAACCTGGCTTAAAGGTGTTATGAAAGATTGCTTGGACACAAATGGTGATCGGGTGCGCGGCAATTGGGGTGATATATATACATTGATATATACAAAACGTGGACTAGCACATACAATATATGCTAAATGTGCTAGACGCACAATTTCGATTGATTTTGTGCCGGGTATTTGCTTCGGCACTGCTGACTGGATCGACGTCAGATATGGTCGTAAATTCAGGAATAAATGTGAACAATGGTACGCCGTGCCGAAGCCAACACCTGGGCCATATGAGACGCGCGCTTATGCCTTTATGATATGTAATCCCAAAGTGGAGCACGATCTTTTATTGGGAAATCAGAATTTGAAAGTAGTCTTTCGTCTTTTAAAATCGTTGCGTAATGCATACGGCATGCGTTGTTTAAAGAGTTACTTTATAACGACTACTTTTCTGTGGGAAATCGAGATACAGAGTAGGAATTTCTGGAACAACCCATTACATATTATACTTGAACATGTAAGTACAAGAGTATTTTTTATGACCTTTTATTCGCTAAGTAATCGTATATTTACATACAATTTGTAAAGTGTGCAATGTGACAAAAAGTTTAATGTAAATACGAGAATGGTCCGATTGCAGTTAAAACAAAGAAATTCGGATCGGGCTGAAGGCATTTAAGACAAACCTCACATAGTAGAAGAAAAAAAAAACAATAAATTACGAATAGTAGTGCTATTTTTGCCGCCACTGTATATACAAGATTTTTTTGTCACACTGCTGCTTTGCAAATCAGTTATTATATATATCATAAATGTATGTACATATATATTTAAATAATAATGTACGTTCGTATGCAGATGCTTGATACTTTGGCCACTGATTTTGAAAATGAATGGTTGCCATTCTTTTGGAACAATGAACTTAATCTCTTGGATAACTTAAACGAAAATGATATAGAAGATTGTGCCTATAAACTACGAAAAGCCTATAATACGTTAAGACAATATAAATTCGAACCTAATCTTACCTACAAGCGCTGTCGAACTCATTTCGAGGTTTGTATAAATGTAATATGTTACACGGTATTAACTTATTATAATCATATTTAATGTACATTTGCATAGCCACAGCAACGCGTGTCCGCATCAATTAATATATTTATGTATGTTTCACTATTTTTTTTTTTCTTTCTGTAGGTTAAATAAATTGTGGTTTTTCCAAGTTGGAGCCTATCTAAGATGACAAAGATATCCGTAATTTTGATACAAAATGACTTAGAACATTTATGAATATTCATATGCATTTATCTACATAAATATGTTTATAGCATATTGTTAAAAACTTGAATTATTCTTTGAAATAAAATAAATATTTTATAAAAAAGATTGCATAACATTAAGAAACTTTATAACGCTTGATATCACCTAACCCTAAAACCTAACCTGTACATACCTATACTACAAACAATGGTAAGCTTATTTAGTATTTTTCAAAAAGCGCTATCATACATTTTAACTTCAATGAAGAAATTTAGTTACATTATGATCAAAAATGAACAGAAAAACGTAAATACGTACATACATACTTACAGAATATATAAAGCAGACTGATAGGAAAAGGAACTTCCACTTTACTGCTTCACTTGGGACTAGCTAATTATGATAGTAGTAGTAGTTGTGCGAGCCATTTCCGACCCAGCGGAAAAGCTCTTTCTGATGTCTTCCTGTTACTGGTTTTGATTTCCCGTACTGCGATACGATCAAACACTTCAAAATATAAACTGACGGAAGGAAATTGCACAAATTTTAAGAACTATTGAGATTAGAGATGCGTATCTCAGACAGAGAGATATCGAAAAAACTATCGATTATTGTGTACAGCCAAATAAGGAAAAATTGAGTAGCAGTTTACATATTATTTTATAAATAACAATTTTTAATAAAATACCATTTTTATAGTAAATAAAATTTCGAATATAATATAAATTAGTATATTTTAACTATTATTTTAGATGGGTTACGAAATTCAGGCTGCATAGGAAGAAGTAGATGTGCATTATGTATGGATGTAATCACAACCACACGTTCTTATATAACAGAAAAATCGGAGCGTTATTAAAAATATAAAATGCATTTTCTATTTAAATTCAATATTTAATATTGCTTATGTTGAATAAATAAACAAATTTGGCATTTGGCAGCACGGTTTCAACTGTCGTACTATTTTACCGTTTCTACAAGCTGTCATTTGAAATTTATCCTTGAACGTGTTTCATTACACAATTCGTTGTATTAATATTAAGTATTTTTCCATACATTATAAATAATATAAAATATTCACAAACACGGTGTTGAACGCCTAGCAATGACAACTGCCGATAAACATATACAAAACTTAGCGAAAACTCTTCTGGTTGAAGAGGAGACAAGAAGCTATATAGAAAAGGATTTCGAAATAATAAGAGCATATGTCATAGACATATTGTTAAAAGATCCAATAATCGGCAAAATGCTAATAAATACAAAATATCCTGGTAAATATTTAAGAGACGTGAATTGTTCCCTAAAAATTATCAAGTTAATTTACAGCTAGTAACTTTAACTGTTCGTTGGTATTGGATCTATCACACTTGATAACACTCGGTGCAATTAAAACAAAATACCCCTCGTTCATTCGATTAGTTCAACGTGGACGAAATAGAGTAGATGGCACGGAGAAATTGCCATTCTTTAGTAATGGCGAAAATATTGCTGGTGGTGTTATAACCAATATCGTAAAGGGACTTTTAAAGCAGGGTTTAGATTTGAGTGGTTATTTTGTTCGTGGTCACTTGGGCGATATTTACGAACTGGATTTTAACTATGAAAATAAAACCTTAAAAAACCAGAGTGTTGATGGTAGGGACGGTGAATGGCAAAATAATTATATCATGCTGAAAGCGTGTAGCCAAGAGATTACACTGAATATACGTTTACGTGTTTTAATAAAATTTTGCAGTAACGACAGTCCTAATGATTTGTGGCCACACCCAACGCACAATTTAAAAATGGTTTGGCTAGCTGCTGCCGATGTACGTTATATGGAATACTTTTCTCTGTGCGCACCATTAAGTGAACGTGAATTGGCTTCTTCACCAAATAATTTGATCGCATTGCGTCTATTGCAGTCACTGATGGTTGGCTGTAAAATATATGCAATAAAGAAAAATCATTTGGAATCGATTACCTATGAATTGATATATACGAAAGCACCTAAAATTACTCATAAATCAAAGGAATCTGTGCTTGATATTTTAATTGCAGTAAGTAAATATGAATATATCGGTATAAATTTTTCACCTTTACATATCCCTTTTAGAGTCTACGACGCATTTTGTATTATTTGGATAAAAATCGTTTTCCCTACTATTGGGACACTAAAGAAAATCTATTGTTTCTCACACGAAACCGTGATAGACTATCGTATACACACAGGTGTTTGCGTACATTATTGACTAATGTAAGCAGCATGCGTGGTAATACCGTAGTGACATATGAAGAGGTTGAATCCTTTTTCGGTAATATAATTCAAAACTACGAATGTTTTCAAAGTTAAACGTTTCATAATTTATTTGCAGGTGTAGAAACTAACGCATATGTGTACAATGTGGATGACTTTGGTGTTTACAGGCATTTTCATAATATTGCATAAATGATTTTACGCTACCATTGAATTTTTTAAACCTCAAATATTTCGTTTCGATTTTAATCATCATTTTAAGTTTTTATTATCATATATTTGATAAAATGCATCATTTTCAGTACACGAATTTTATATTCGTATATATCCTTGTTTATAAATGTCACACTTATGGCCCGAGTGTGTAAACACTCGACTTTATATACGAAAATACTTTCAGTATTCGATATTTTTTGTTATTATATGCCAAGCACTTTAATAAATTCATGATTTCCGTTATATAAATTCTACATCTTTTAGCATTGGTTGCTTTTTCATACGATTGGTAATGCTGTTTTGTTGGAACTGTAACTGTATTAAGATGAGAACGCTGCTCGCTATGTTATTAACGGTCTACGATATAAGAAATAATAAATATATATGTATGTATATGCACGTATAAATTATAAAAGACGATGAAAACGAAAATTTCTGTATCCATATTGGCCAATAACGTACCGCATAAAGCAAAAAAAGGTTACAAGTCGTCACTTTCCCAACCAAAAACGAATATGTGTTCTGCATTTGCCAGTGCAGGAATGCTTCCAACTTACTGCGAGTCGCTTTAGAGCACGTTAAATATCGCTCACACATTCTGACCTCATGGGTGCAATCCCGTCGCTGTAAACAATCGTGAACATCGTTATATATTTAAATCTTGTAAAAGTTTATACATTACATTTGTTTTAACGTAACAGAACTTACTTCCCTCTGCGTTACATATCCATATACCGCGTATATGATTATCTTATAAATTCGCGGCAACATAAATAGGAATATGAATATATATTCTTTGACAGTTGTTTTTGTTTCCGTTGCCTTTTGACACATCAGAAATGTCATGTTTGTAAGCATAGCGAAATCATGGAACAAACTAAATCCGCTCACGACACCAAACACGTCGTTTACTTGTAAAATCAATTGAATATAGCTTTTACAATAATCGATTAGGCGCGAAATGCACATTTCAAATTTATGTTGATGCTTCAAATCCACTGCTAACGCATATTGCTGCTTCAAAAGTCGTTTTATTAGACGGTAACGTATGCGTAGCAGGTCCATCTTGCCCAAATGCAGAAAAAATATACAACTTGGTGCAAGAGTAATGCTAGCATAGCACAGAGCAAACACAAATGTTGCTACATAATCACAATTGCAATTCGACAATTTAAACAGATAAATAAAGGAAATAGTAAAATAGTAAGTCATGCCAGTTAGGGTAAATATTGTAAATTTACGCATTGTTTTATGATAATTCCATTCGATATAGTGAAAATCGATTTGCATTTGTGCGTCCAGTTCCTTGAATTCTCGGAGCAATTTCAAATGTTTGTATCTGTTTATTTTCATTTTTATGCAGACAGCAATATACGTCATCGCACTGACGAAGCATTCCAGTGCGAGTATGAATTTGAAAACTGGTGATAAGCGGTTGAACATGGCATTAAAGCTTTCATTATCCATGTATTTCAGTAGTACGCTACCGAGAAATCCAAATATTAAAGATATTTGTATAAAATTGGTGTAAATAATGTTGGCCTTTGTTAATTGAAATGATTCACCACGTAGTTGAAAGCAAAGACAGCCAGTATAGTATAAGATCATATATATCCACTTGAAGCAACGATATAAACCTAAATTCTTTTTTCGCTTCAATACTATCATCTTTTACTGTGGCGGTACCACACTTCTCAACTTTCGGTAAGCAACTAACATATAGAAGATTTTAGTTACTTAACTGTGGTAAATTGGAGCTACTTTTGTGTGTGTAATTAATTATTAATTATAATTCAATTGGATCAAAGATATGCTTGTTATTAACTCCTATCATAAATGACACATGCACCGTTTAATAAGTGATTTAACCGTTAATAAATTGCAGTATATGTGTATAAATGTACCTAACACTTCAAATTTCGTAGAACTTAATTGCTTTAACGTCATATGAACACACATAAACCACTGGACTTCGTTTAAATAAGTGAATTGTTTTATTGTATTTTTATTAGGTATAACTAAAACTGCTTAGAAGCAAACAGTATTGGCGAATGCAAATTGTACTCTGTTCAACTGCTTATTATGCTTTCTTTTCCTTTTTGTCCACATGACCGTTACTATGAGCTGGATTATGATTGTGATTACTATTAGTGCCACTAGCATTACTATTTGTGTTTCGCAATGTTTTTTGCAAAACGTACGCGTCCGCAGGTTCAATTCTTTTGTAATAATGCTCCTTGGTCTCAACAATTTCAAAACCAAATTTCTTATAAAACGCTATTGCGCCTTCGTTATTAATTTGCACGTGTCTGTCAAAAAGATATATAGTAAATATTAATTTTAAGTATGCATGGAAAATGTTATATAGAAATTTGAACTTACAGAAAGATACTGTCAAAGTTTCCATCTACTTTAGCGTAATTGAGAATATGTTGGAACATCACTGTGCCGATGCCGAGACGTCGATATGACGACAAACAACCCAAAGTCATGATATATAGACGTCGTTGATTCTCGGAAGTATCAATGCGGCAGCACACTGCACCAACTACGATGTCATTATAGTATACCAGTTTTGCCAACTCACCAGCCTCCAGAACATCTATGTAGAATTTTTCGTTGTACGACACAGGAAATACAACCGAGTTGAGCTTTTTCAGTTGCTTAATATTATGTGGCGTTACATCGCCCAATTCAATATTTGACCTGTATACATATGAATAAGCAAAGGGGAATGTTAGCGATTGTTTTTAGGTTAATGTTTGACAATGCTTTATAGTTGAACAGACCTCGTCATTTAAACAGCTTATATTTAAGATTTCGATTTATTTTAGTTAAAAACTTGTTTTATTTTATTGTATCCTGTTATGCGATAGGAAATTAATCAAAATATACAATAAATCTTAACTCCGAGAATTTAGAAAAGTTTGAGGGCGCTAGGCGGCTAATCGCATATTTCCACTGACAATTGCAAACATCTGATGTCAAATGTCAACAGTGATGAACAGAAATAGAAAAAAAAAATAAATTTTTGTACATCTATGTTTAGTTATTTGTTTATTTTTAGCTAAAATAAAAATTCTAAAAGTTTTAATAAGGTTGCGCTTCATATTTAGAAGAAACTATAAGAGCACGATAAGATTTAGTTTAAAGAGTGATGCTCAACAAAGTGTGGTAACTATACATCAGTTGGGAAGCCAATGAAATTGCATATTAGTTCATAAACAATTGTCGCGCTTAAAATACTTATTGGAATTGAGAGAAAATATTAAATGATAATTAATATAAATATAGGCCTACTAGGCCATGTAGATTCGGGTAAAACCACATTGGCACGTGCCTTGAGTACTATTGCAAGTACTGCGGCATTCGATAAAAACCCACAGTCACAAGTACGTGGAATTACATTGGATTTGGGATTCAGCGCTGTAGTGGTAGAAGCGCCGGCAAGATGGAAAATCGTTTCACCGGATGTCGACAAAGTGCAGTTCACTTTTGTAGACTGTCCTGGACATGCAAGCCTCATACGTACTATAATTGGAGGTATGGAAAACTTACATTCAGTATGGTCCATGTTTTGATAAATAGGTTTTTTTTTTAAGGTGCTCAAATTATTGATTTGATGTTGCTGGTCATTGATGCTCAGAAGGGAATACAAACACAAACAGCGGAGTGCATAGTTATTGGCGAGTTACTGCAACGAAAATTGATTATGGTTGTAAATAAAATAGACTTATTGGAGGAAACAACACGCGTTGCTCAGTTACAAAAACTAAATACGAAACTGCGAAAAACGTTGGGACAGACTACCTTTGATCCCGAAAGCAGTATTTTCAATGTTTCGGCAGTGCAGAAAATCAATATCGAAGTAATAATCAAATAAACATTTAATATTCACATTTCTAAGTATTGTTATGTTCTTGTAGGCTCTTTTGGAAGGAATCCTGTCACAAATAGAGTACCCTAATCGGAACATAGATACACCTTTGGTTATGTATACGGATCACTGTTTCTCTATAAAGGGCCAAGGCACTATTTGTACCGGCACAATAGTGCAAGGTAGTATTACCGTAAACGATCTAGTCGAAATACCAGTAATTAAGGAGCAGCGCAAAGTGAAATCAATCCAAATGTTTCATCGACCAGTACAATCGGCAGCAATGGGTGATCGTGTAGGAATTTGTGTGCCACAATTCAATGCAAAAATGTTGGAACGTGGTATACTAACAAGTCCAGGATATTTACATAATATTTATGCAGCATGCATACGAGTGCATCGAATAAGATTCTACAAATTTGCAATACGTTCTAAAAGCAAATTGCACATAACAATTGGACACGACACTGTGATGGCAAATATTACTTTATTTAGAAGTGTGATTGATACAACAAATGAAACCTTCGACATAAATAAGGAATACGAATTCGTTGAAGAGCTAGAACCAGCAACAAGTGCGCAAACGGAAGATTTGATATTTGCTTTATTGGAATTTCAAACGCCCATACTGGCGGACAGAAATGCCACATTAATTGCGGCAAAGTTGGACTTGGATGCACAAAGTAATTGCTGTCGTTTGGCCTTTTGGGGACGTATGCAATGGTATACACATGCCAACAGCTACAGTTTGGATGTGCTGCCGAAATTCAAAGTGTTTAAACATAAATTAAAGCAGGGCTTTATACAACGACTTGTAAATGAGAATGAAGCAATTGTTGAAAATTTGTTCTCTAAACAAGGTAATCGTGAAATCTATCTAGGCAAGAAAGTTGAACTGTCCACAGGGGAAATAGGTGTTATCGAAAGTACTTTTGGTCAAAAGTCGAAAGTGAAAGTGCATTTCATTAATGGTCTTAAAACGGACACGCTGAACGAACTAAAGGGCGGTCGTTTTAGTAGTRTAAAAGTTATGCTGAAATATAAAAAATATATCTTCAACAAGCAACTATCTCTGGTCCAATAAAGAAAAACCGCATTTGGTGAGTTTTATTTAAATATATTAATAATGATAAAAATTGCGAGATTGTAGTATTAGAGCGATTGTCAAAGCCTGAAAAAGTTGAAACACTATATCAAAAATATATGCGAGGGAAATATCTATCTGCAGCTTACAATATAGTAGACATATGCATAAATTAAAAGTTGATTAGTTTGCGGAAATCATAGCAGAAATCGTTGGACTTCTTCAGTAGTCGGCAGAATTTCTACCGTTACAACAACAACAACAATAACAACAATCAAATATAAGTTGACAGTCCATGGCCGGATAAAAATCCGGGTCCGTTCCGGTTTTCGTAGACCCGACTGTCGTGGGAACGGTATTTATATTTGATTATTTAGGATTATTGTTTTCTAAAAACTCTTATATACAAATATCTGCTTTAATTTTTTTTTTAAGTTAGTCAAGGCCCATGTGAACATATGTATGTATTTGTATTTAAAAGTTTGACAAGGACGTTAAATTTTCGGTGTGTTTAATAAGCATTGTGGATATGACTCGACATATCAAACACGGCTATGTAGTAACATTTGACAGCCACTGTAAACAAATAGTCCCGTCAGCTGTTTTCTTCGCTTTAAAAAATAGCTAATCAAATCTTTGGAAACATCTTTTGTCTGAAATGTGAAAAATTCTTTGAGACATTCAAAAAATATAAAAAATAAAATATGGAGTGGTTTAGTACAATAATACTAGTTTTAATAAGTGTAGAAATAACACAGCAAGTCGACTACGATTGCGATGATTTATTAATGGGACAATATCTATGTCCAGATCCGACAAAAAAACAAATTGATCCCAAAACTCAACAATTTTATGGTTGTACGAAGGAAAATAAGGCGCGAGGTAAGCCACAATAACAGTAAATTCAAAGTATGCTTTTAATACCCATATTTCTCCTATTTTCGACTTCAAGTTTGGTGCTTAGCCGTAGATGGCATCAATTGCACGGAAACAGGCAACAACACGTTTACGCGCGAATTGCCCTGTAAATGGACGTAAGTTGAGCGAATACGTTAAAATTTTCAATTTACAATTACAAATTATCTTTTTAGTAATGGCTATCACCTCGATACCACACTACTGCTGTCCGTCTTTCTGGGTATGTTTGGTGTTGATCGCTTCTATTTAGGTTATCCTGGTATTGGGCTGATAAAATTTTGCACGCTCGGTGGCATGTTTCTCGGCCAACTAATTGATATTGTACTCATTGCTACACAAGTTGTGGGCCCGGCAGATGGTTCAGCTTATGTAATACCTTACTATGGTGCCGGCGTGACAATTGTACGTAGCGACAATTCCACATATCGCTTACCACGTGATGACTGGTGAAAATGCAGTAAATAAGACATATTTTTAAGGCATATGTTAATTAGTAATATAAATTGACTGAACATGTGCGTGTGTACATTTATAGAATTAGTATTGTGTTTTCTAACAAATTAAGAACAAAAATTGAATATTGTATCAAGCAAATGTGTGAGTTATCAATCGTGATGATTATGGTAGCGGTTCGTTTAATGTTTCTTGTTACTGCGAATTTAAGTTATTGTAATGGAATGGATCCGTTGTTATTCTGTATTGAAGTGAAGTGCCACTAGTTTATTGGTCAATTTTGGACGCATGCAACTTGGGTTGTTTATAACAAGCCTTTAGTCAGCAGCATGTTTAGACACATAAAATGTT